ACAGCCAGATCTGTGTGCACACTTTTGGTGCCCTATGCCAAATATCTCCCTCTATAATGATATTTCAACACCCACTGCTCAAGCACACAAGTCGTTTTCACCAGTTATCATTATTTTGAGGGAACGTAGCCTCCCTAGCGGTCTGATTATGTCCATATTTCTGTGATCAAAGCGGTACATTTTTTTTGCATGGAAATGTGTAGCTTTTTTATTGTAGGCCTGTAATTTTTTAGGAATAACTCACTGAAATCTGACCGAACAAGAGTCTAGTAAAAATTTGAAACACAAAATCATAACTTATAATTTAATAAATAATCATAAAAAATAATAATATAATAATAATACATTTCATTCAATAATATAATCAAACCAAAAACACTGAAATTTGAAATATAGCGCCAAGTTCGCACATCACTGAGCAAAGTCGCAAAATCGTTTTTAGTGTCTGATGACGAATTTCCCCACGAATCATTATCACTCAATTCTGCAAGTGGTTCTAATTTACTATCGCTGTTCTCTAGCTGGTCTAAAACCGCTTTTGACCTAAAGGGACGCTTTTTTGACGCCATGGACTTTTCTAAGTTTCAAGGCAGAAAGAACAGTAAAAATGCAGGCAGGACACAGGACAAAGCAATAGGGACAAAATGTATGTGAAATGGTTTGATACAGTAATGTTTTACTATGTGATTTTAGTGTATTTAGTGAATGTCACTTTTAAAGTTTTAAAATTTCCCACCAGTTCCGTACCCGTACATCCTGACATCGCAGGGAACTCGGAAAACAGATGCCGGCATCAGCCAGGGACACTGCAGGAGGGACATTGCGGGAGCGCAGGACAAGGTAAGAGAGGAGCAGATCCCGGAGCAGCGCCGCATGGTAAGCCCAAGTGTAGCTCGGGGGTTACCGCTTGTGGTGCTGAAACTTTACCCCAAGCTACACTCGGGAATACCTCCAGGGAGGTTAAAATGTTACTAAACCCAGGACCCTGCATTCACTATATCTGATCTCCCAAATTACACATAACATGAAATGCAATCATTTTATTAAATATAAACTGCTAAATACCTTTTCTCATCAGCAGTTAGAGCACTCTTGTGGCTTCTATCAGTGTCCAGCAGAGTACTGGTTAAAGCTTGTAGGAGGCATTTTCATTCTCCCCTGACTGAACCTATGAGGCTTCAGGACCAATGACCCTCCATCTGGACAGTGCTGATTGGACTTATGCTGATCACATGCACCCTCCCATGTGCAAAAAAAAACCTCTAGCAATATACACCAAACTGAGCATGTGCAGCTTGCCCCCAAGGCTCTATTGTATCAGCAGGTGAATTGGGGACTGTGGAAGAAGGGAAGGATTAGAGAAGAGAGGATCACAGCAGCTGTGGGGGGGAATTTGCGACATGCCATTCGTTTAGCTTCATTACCATTGTAATTCAGAAATTCGGATACCTCTGAATAACTAAAATTGCATCCGAATTATCGATTCGGAACAAAATGAACCGCATATATTTACTTAAAAATAATCCCGTTCGTCCAGCGTGAGAATGTGCCTGCCTGTATGATTTCCTTTTGGTGCTGTAATGCTTTGTGGTGCTGGAGATTATTCTTGCTCTTTTTGTCCTAGTGGCTTTTTTGAGCTACTTAGGGTGGATCTCCCATTGATGCTGAGCTTACCTGATGCTGGGTGTAAGTAAAACCTACGAGCAGTTCCCACTAATGGAGAGGGTCCACTAAGAGGTCTGGAGTACATTCCCTGGGTATACCAAGCGCCATCGGAGTGCCACATCCCCACTGGGTTCCAGATGACCATTAGTGCCCTTTATACTACATGCGTAAAATTATTTTACATCTGGTGAGTGCAAGCACATCCCTTTTTCCTATCACGGAAGTCATGAGCACCTTATTATGCGATGGAAGTTTAATGGGAATGATTAATATCTTCCACACTTGTGAATACTGATGCACCTTTCAAATACTTCAATGGACTTTTATATATTTATATATCATTTTTATGCAATGTAATGTGTTTACATGATACTGTTGTCACTCTATAATTACTTACCATCTTCATCAAGACATCACATTTATATCACTTGCTAGCGCATAATTTTGCGCTATTTGAGCGCTGCATTTTGTTTATATATATATATATATATATATATATATATATATATATATTTGAGGATTTTAGAGGTTTTCCTTATGCAAGCTGCTTTTTTACCATATTTTAGAAGCGCTCGCTTTATTACTTCTATCTGTGACACCTGACCAACTCACTGAGCTGTCTTAGCCATTTACTGAAGATGAGCTCAAAACAGCTATTAAATCCCTCCCTTTTCACAAGGTTCCAAGCTCTGATGGGTTCTGCAATGAGTATTACAGAGAATTCCATGACCTATTGGGTCCCTACCTTTGCGATTCTTTTAACATATTTGTAATTACAGGAGCCATCCATAGATAGTCCTTTGAAGCTCTAGTTATTACCATTCAAAAACTGGGTAAATCCTTTAAGGACCTTGCTAATTATTGCCTAATCTCCCTAAATTATTAGCAACCTGCCTAGCAAAATATATCCATACCCTCATACATACTGATCAAGTTGGGTTCATTCCCAGCAGACAAGCATCCAATGGAACTAGGAGGTTTAAAAAACCTCATCCAATGGGTCGAGTACTACAGAGTACCTTCTCTGCTTATTTCTTTGGATGTAGAGAAGGCATCTGATAGAATTCACTGGAGTTTGTTCTTATTAAATTGGGACTGTCTGGAATTATATTGCGAGCTATGTTGGAATTATATTCTTTTACCAGTGCTAAGGTGTGGACAGCCAGCTATCTCTCAGAGTCATTCCCTATCACTAACAGCACCCGTTAGAGGTGTCTGCTGTCCCCTCTTATTTTTGCCATAGTAATTGAGCCCTAGCTGACACTATTCAATCTAACCCTCTTATTTCAGGTGTTACAGTAAGTGACGCCACCCATAAAATCAACCTTCATGTGGATTATATCATTTTCTCACTTTCTGATCCCATTCACTCAGGGTCCTCCCCTTCAGCAACTACTAGAGGATTTGGGGGCCAGCTCTATATAAACTCAATCACTCTAAATCGTCCAAATCAGTCTTTTTCAAGTTACTAAGGATAGGATCACTCAATTTCTCATGGGAATTAAGCTCTACCCTTTCCTATTTGAGGATCCAACTGTTTATCTCCTTTGCTATCCTTCTTCAAGCTAATTTAGCTATCCTAACTAAAAAAACTCCAGGATGTAAGCACAGCCTTACACTTTGTTAAAGCAGCCTGGGTGGGGTGCATAGCTCTAGCAAAAAATGTTCCTCCTTCCTTACCTTCTATACATATTCAGAACCAACAATAGAATATTGGAAACTTCACCTCTTCACCTCAGCATTCAGAAATCATAGGTACGCTTTCCATTGAAAATACATATACCATGACCACTGTGCAACTCTGGCTGTAAGTATCAAGTGATGCGGCCCTTCTCAGATCGGGGAATCCAGTACTTCATAAACAACAAAAAACAAAGAGGGTGCAACCGCCTAGTGCATTATCTCTTCATTATCAGATAAAAAAAATGACATATTATAATCACAAACCAAAGAGGATTAGTGGAATGACAGGAAAACAGAATCCAGAAGTTTGCCTTCCAACCTCAACTGCTCTTAGGAAGGGGGCCATTCCCTTGCAATGCTTCAGGTGGTATGGTCATCTGCACAATTTGTTGTGGTTGGAGAACAGACTTCTGGATTCTGTTTCTTTGTCATGCCTCTAATCCTTTTAGGTTTGTGGGTATAATATGTATACTTTTATCCTGTAATAAAGTGCTGGAGATAAAGCACTAGGCGTTTGCACTTTTTTGTTGTTTATACAAGTTCAGAACTCTTTTAATACCAATCTTGCCTTGTTATCTTTTAAGATTTCAACACATCTTGAATTCCTTCATATAGGAGTTCAAGCAGCCATACTTGAATCAATCTGTCCTGTGCCTACTGCCGAACCTGGTGGGATTGGGCACTTCTGATGTTAAAGCATATTAAAAAAGCAACTTTACTTGACCTGGAATGAATTATGAAAATATATCATCAGCGGTACTACACACCCATTAAGTTAGCATTCATTTATCCTACTCTTTCTGCTAAATGCTGAATTTCGGTACATTCCCTGGTAAGACATATCCCAATAACAGCTCGCCTCTCCATTATTTGCATTTGGAAGAGTACTAGCCCACACTTCTTCCAACTAACGATTACTCTCCTTAAGGACCACTGTTTAATAGAATTTATGTTTGCTAAAGCCCACAAAGCACGCAATTTATAAGCACTGGAATCTCTGTTTAAAGAACCAAGAAGTATCTTTTTATCCTAATATACCAACACTCTACTAGTATTGTTGAATTTATCCCAGATTTGATCACCCCATCTCCATAAGAGCTGTTTAACTCTCTACCTGACAGCAGACCTTGATGTCTAATTTATGATTATCATTTTTTGCTCTATACTTAATGCCTACTACTGCAGCATAGGCTCAGTACACGATGCAACCCTGTATTCACTCCCCTCTTCCCCTAACACAGGTGACTTCCCCCTGTTCATTTAACCTCTCTCAATTTCCTACTTTGTTCATATACTGTAGCCGAAGCACCTTTCTATACCTACCTAGTACCCCTCATCTGTATGATCTACCAATAATGTCTATAACGCATATAATAAGAATATAATAGTGTTTTGTGTGTACCTGGGGACTATTGTAATTGTCTCTTGTTTTTACAAATTGACTACCTTTTTTTTGTGTTGCTATTCTTAACATGTATGTTTTTTTTGAAAATTTACAATAAAATTTAAGTGGTAAAAAAGAAAATGAAGTCTTCAAAAGACTTACTGTGTTTTCTTTCTAAGATGTTGTCGTATTGTGGGTTTTCCACTGGTCTGGTGCTCCAGAGCCTCCAAACATGTAATAGGAAATCAGGAAATAAAATGTCTGATTTATGCCCCTGAAATGCCTGAAGGTGCTCCTTGGATTGTGATTAGACTGTGAAAAAGTCTCACACATGTGGTATCCAGGGGCGGACTGACAACTCATGGGGCCCCCGGGCAATAGGGGATCATGGAGCCCCTGTGTCCTTGCCCAAACTCAAAAAAGCCTATGAAAACGGTACCAGGGGCATCTCATGGGGCTCCCTACTGACCCCGGGCCCTCGGCCAGTGCCTGAGTTTCCAAATGGTCAGTCTGCCCCTGGTGGTATCACCAAACTTGGGAGGAGTAAGAGAATGTGTTTTGGGGTGTAATTCTAATTATTTCTATGTTGTGTGCGAGAAATAACTTAATAAAATAACAACTTTGTGGAAAAAAACACAATTTATTTAATTTCTTTCCAAAAAATTGTGACAAAAAATTAAAACTTTAAAAAACTCCCAACTCCCAATGCCTCTTACTGTCTTGTTTACTTTCCAAAAATAGGTAATTTGGGGGGCATTTTTACTGTCCTGACTAGGGATGCACCAATAACGATAACAGTATCGGTGACTATACTAAGCATTTGCACAAGCATCGGTACTCATGCAATTGCACCGATACCTGAAACCAATACCGAAAGTGAAGTGAAGTGAAGGTGGAGGCAGAGAGGGCTACGTTCCCCCACATGGCGATGAGTGCTTACATGTCCCTTGCTGACTGCTGTACATGTCTCTTGCTGACTGCTGTACATGTCTCTTGCTGACTGCTGTACATGTCTCTTGCTGACTGCTGTACATGTTTCTTGCTGACTGCTGTACATGTCTCTTGCTGACTGCTGTACTTCTGGTGGTGAGGCCTGTGCCATACTGTACTTCTGACAGTCCTGTTACATGTCCCTTGCCATACGTCTGGCAGTCCTGTTACATGTCCCATGCTGTACTTCTGTTGGTGAGTCCTCAGTGCTGTTACATGTCCTTTGCTGTACTTCTGGCACTGAGTCCTGTTACATGTCCCTTGCTGTACTTCTGGAGGTGAGCCCTGTAACATGTCTTTTGCTGTACTTTTAGTGGTGAGTCCTGTTACATGTCTCACATGTCTCTTGCTGTACTTCTGGTGGTGATTCCTGTTACATATCCTGCATGTCTTTTGCTGAGTTTCTGTACTTCTGTTCTGGCATTAAGTCCTGTTACATATCCTGCATCTTTTGCTGTACTTCTGTACTGTTACACAGGACGGCATATACAGCTTTTACTGCTTTGGAGTTGGACAGTCAATGTCTATTGCACTTACGCAGCTTATCTAGCTCATGCATTGAGTCATGTGCTATATCTACTTTATGGTTGGCTTGCAGCCTATCCATCCATCCATTGTGGGATAGCAGCTCACACACCCATGTTTTTAGGCGGCTGGCTCGGGTGTACTGTTGGGAGTGGGGGGCATGGGTTGCAGGACCTATGATGCATAATTATATGTTTTTCTTTTGATACAAAATAAACTTGAGGAGGTAGTCATTTTGGTGCATGTGCCATTTTTTTTTATTCGTTTGCGTATAATATATGCTTCTTGGTTACACCCTACCTATATTGTTTATAGTGGTGGCACCACCTCATACGTGTACACACTGTGGCTCGGTTCCCAAAACCATCCTCTGCTTTTTATAGAGTCCTGTTATGTACCTGGAGTGCATGCCGGGTGGATTTCCCGCAGGGTTTACTACTTCGCCATACCTTAAAGATACTGGATGCCCGGATGGCATCAGAAAGATTATACGGCAAGCAGTGGTGAAAGCAGCTTCATATTATACAGTATGTCTACCTATTATTTTTTAAATAAACTGTGGCTCATTCATTTTTTATTTTCTGTTTTTTTTCCCCCAAGGTGGAGAGACTTCTTTATTTCAGCATTTCAGTACAAAGAGATACAAGCAAAATGTTCCCAGTGTGGAGTTTTTCTGAAATAATTTTGTAAAATAAAGTATACCATTTTTTATATATGAATACATGTGTGGTAATTTTAATAGCTGCATTAAAGTCCCAAGGGGGTATTTTTTTGTATTTTGGTGACAAGCAGCTGATACCCTAATTATCTCTATTATATACATACAGTTGAAAAAAAAATAGCAGTCAGACATCACTAACCTGATCAATCACTGTTTTTGGTAGAAATGATATTTCTACATGGCAAATGATTTACTAGCAGGTGTAGTAGAGTAATAGAAATCCAACAGACCCAACATAGTCATGACATGCATGATGCTGATTCTGTGTAATTGAATCACTAATTGAAAGGGGCATGTTCAAAATAATAGCAGTGTGGAGTTCTATTAGTGAGGTCATTCATTCTTTGAAAAACAGGTGGCAATTATTGCCCTTATTTAAGGAAGGAAGGCAGCAAATGTTGTACAAGCTGGTTACAGTGCATTTCTCTCTGAAATTCTGAGGAAAATGGGTCGTTCCAGACATTGTTCAGAAGAACAGCGTACCTTGATTAAAAAGTTGATTGGAGAGGGGAAAACATATAAAGAAGTGCAGAAAATTATAGGCTGCTCAGCTAAAATGATCGCAAATGCTTTAAAATGGCAACCAAAAACCTGAAAGACGTGGAAAAAAAACTACCATTCGAATGAATAGAAGATTAGCCAAAATGGCAAGGACTCAGCCAACAATCAGCTCCAGGAAGATCAAAGAAGGTCTAAAGTTACCTGTGAGTACTGTTACAAATAGAAGACACCTATGTTAAGCCAAGCTATCTGCAAGAAGCCCCCGCAAAGTCCCACTGTTGAAAAAAAGACGTGCTGAAGAGGTTACAATTTGCCAAAGAGCACATTGACTGGCCTAAAGAGAAATGGCGCAACATTTTGTGGACTGTTGAAAGTAAGATTGTTCTTTTTGGGTCTAGTGGCCGGAGACAGTTTGTCAGACGAACCCCAAACACTGAATTCAAGCCACAGTACACTGTGAAGATAGTGAAGCATGGTTGCACAAGCATCATAATATGAGGATGTTTCTCATACTATGGTGTTGGGCCTATTTATCGCATACCAGGGATCATGGATCAGTTTGAAAACATCAGAATACTTGAAGAGGTCATGCTACCTTATGCTGAAGAGGAAATGCCCTTGAAATGGGTGTTCCAACAAGACAATGACCCCAAACACACCAGTAAACGTGCAACATTTTGGTTCCAGGCCAACAAGATTGACGTTATAGAGTGGCCAGCCCAATCCCCGGATCTTAATCCAATAGAAAACTTGTGGGGTGACATCAAAAATGCAGTTTCTGAGGCAAAACCAAGAAATAGAGAAGAACTGTGGAATGTAGTCCAATCATCCTGGGCTGGAATACCTGTTCACAGGTGCCAGAAGTTGGTTGACTCCATGCAACACAGATGTACAGCAGTTCTCAGAAACAGTGCTTATACAACTAAATATTAATTAAGTGATTCAAAGGAAAGCAAAATCTTTAAACATTTTTCAGTTTATATAGTGAATGTTTGAGTTTGTAAAGAAAAATACAAACACTGCTATTTTTTTGAACAGTCTAATATTCACTTTTCTTCACTTTTTTTAGAGGAACAACACAAATTTGATATATTTTTCATCATGTTTTGATTTGGAATAGAATGTGTAGTGTTCCCAATGCATTTGTGTGTATGGAAATAAAAGTTATTAGAAGGATTTTGAGCTTTATTCACTTTTTTCAACACACTGCTATTATTTTGAACACAACTGTACATAATATGTCTTTTGAGGTACAGTTCTTGCTCCTCAGGCTTAAACATAACTAACTGTATTGCATGTGGTTGGCTTTGAAGTTAACTTGTGATGTTTACATCCAAATACTGTATGTCGTTTGAGGTACAGTTCTTGCTCTTCATGCCTAAACATAACTAACTGTATTGCACTTGGTTGGTTGTGAACTTGTGATGTTTACATACATGTTAGTTAATATTTCATAATTTAAACTTGTTCTGTGAAATTTGAGCTTTCACAACTTTGTGACAGGTAAATAAAAATGTTTTATTTGTTTTATGTCTTTTGAGTTACAGTTCTTCATACATATAAAGAAATGGTAATAATTTTTTATTAGTTGACAGCAACTGTCACATGATATTAAAAATAGGTATAGGTAATTGGTATTGGTGAGTACGTGAGGAAAAGTATTGGCAATTGTACACCATCTTAAAAAGTGGGGCAGTACATCCCTAGTCCTGACAGTTAGGTCCATAAAGAAATGAGATAAGTTGTCATCAGGACTGATGAATTTTCAAATATATATACCATAGTTTGAAGACTATAACTTTAACGCAGACTAAATAATATACATTTTGGTTATTTGTACCAAAGAAATGTAGCAGAATACATTTTAGCCTAAATACAGTACAGTGGGTACCAGGGGCGGACTGACCATTTGGAAACTCAGGCACTGCCCGAGGGCCCGGGGTCAGTAGGGGGCCCCATGAGATGCCCCTGGTACCTTTTTCATAGGCTTTTTTGAGTTTGGGCAAGGACACAGGGGCCCCGTGATCCCCTATTGCCCGGAGGCCCCATGAGTTGTTAGTCCACCCCTGGTGGGTACAGTGTTGCATGACTGAATAGTTGTCATTAAAAATGTGACAGCACTGAAATCTGAAAAATGGCCTGAGCATAAAGGGGGGGAAGCAGTTCTGTCTTGAGTGGATAAAACAAAAAATAAATCTAATCATTATATTTTTGTCATTGAAAATATTTTTTCTTTAGCCATTCGGGACTTAGTCAAGTGTATTTCAAATCTTGTAAGCATAAACCCAATAATATCACCATTATCTCATAGTCATCAATACATCTCCAACACAATTTGACAATTTAGATGTCAAGTAAATGAATGCACTAACTCACACAATACCAATGACACATCTCCTATCTTATGAGAATAAAACATGGAATTTCAGAGTATTAAAATATTCAAACTGCAAATTAGTCATAGAATATATAAAATATCTGCTGTTACAGTGACTGCAGTTACTGTATGGCTCATTACAATGTGTTCTTCTCATGCAGTTTGAGGTTTTTCTACATGTTAGTATAGTGAGACATAAACAGGAAAACACTAGAGGAC